TAACAAAAGCTAAGTCACCATAGCTCCAGTCATTGACTCCACATCCTATTCATTGACTAATCTTTCAGTTCAAAACAATTTTTGTCACTTATAATTGCAAATACTGGCTGAACTGAAATGTGAAATTTATGTAATGGAATTTTATTTTGATTGTTTTTTATGATACTGTGAAAATAGTATCACTTAATAATGATAAGTCTGCCTTTGTTCACAATTAGGGAGGAAGGCAAGATGCAATAAATCATCATCATGTTTTCAGTTGCTGCACTTAGCAACAGTTGGTATTTCCTAAACTATCTGGAACCATTAAGGTGTTTTGGATATAACTCCAAGGATTCTTGATCACTGGCCTTACTGGCTGGGACTGATGGGACCTGATGGCTAAAACATGAGGCCAGCACCAGACTGAGGAAGACAGACATAATCTGGTGCATCAGCACATTACAGGTTCTATGAAAGGCATGGTTAATCAATAGAAACATCCTAATAAAGTCAAGTAGGTGCAGAATGCCACCACCTAGCTTGTGGTTAAAACTACCAGCAACTCTACTTAATGGCTCCATATGGTGACTCTCCATAATTATTGGCCAGTTTACTAAAGCTTCAATAAACTGATACATATTGGGATAAGCAGCTTGCTCACATTCTAAAATCTAACAGAAAAGCCCTTCTGTATGTCCAAATATGATGGAGGTGTGGGTACTGCGGCAGTAGAAATGGTGTTCTTTGTGGCCACACCTAATTTGCAGAATTCTTTGCCCCAGGAAACTAGGTTGGCACTCTCTTTAGCCATCTTTCCTTTTTAGGCAGGCATTTTATTGGGATGGGTATTATCCTATGATTTTTATTTGCTCTATTTTATTATAATATTGTTTTTGCAACCTTGCTGTATTTTTATTTGGTTTAATTTCTGTTATCTGCCCAGATGATGCATATCATGTCCTTCTGGTTTTTATGCATTTGCATATAAATAAGTTCAATATCTTAATTATAACAAGGTATACATTTTTATATTAAAGTTACCAGATTATTATACTGAGGTTTAACAATGGCAATACAATCTGGAAAATGTTCCCATTAATGAATATAGTGTTAGTCTTTATACAATAGCTATGATATAGTACAATGTTGAAATTTTTGGCACATCTACTAGTCTTGAAAGTTAGTTACTATTATATGAAATTTAAAATATAACAGTCAATAATGAGTAAGAAAAGCAAAGCTTCACTAGTTACTCCATCTCTCATACATAAAATATTATATTGGACAGCAACCCTAACTAACAAATTAACTTCTGTCTGGATATTCCTTGGTAAATGAATTATAAACTGTTTCCCATCCATTAAATAATGAGTTGTCATTTTATTAGCAAACCTAAGCTTTCCCTTATTCTTTCAAATAAATGTAATTGGTCCTCACTGGTATAATAATGAATAGACCATTGATACCATTCATTTTATAGTCTAATAAAATAATATAAGAACTGATAAAATGTTCTAATTGGTAGCAATTAAAAAGACAGGACACAAAATACATCAATTTCTGAAGTCAAGTAATAAAAAAGAAACATCTGAGCATTGTGTCACTATGGTTATATAGGGATCTCAAAGTGAATTTCTATAGCACTACAACCTTTTGTCAAACCCCTAATTCACCTTATATTCACAGAAAAATGAAGGTACACTGGAAATATTTTATTAAGCCAAACACACTTCAATCACTGACAGTTCTTCACAAGCACTATCAAAACATATAATCTATTTAGTGAGACAATACTATAGTAATAACAATAATAATGTATACACATGAAATATAAACATTATAATAACATGACAATAATGAAACTTAATCCTTTTTCTCTTGAGAACACTAATTAAATTACAAACAAATTGTAAGATGAGACTATCCAACATGGCTTAATAATGAAAAGATATGAATTAGCTAAATCTCCTAAGAACTCTTATCTGCATCTCTTAAGTTGCTGTTGTGTTCACGTATTCCTGCTGTAGATATAGCATTGCCCAATTCATCAAACATGCTTTAGAAGATCACTGCATAGAATTCCATACCCTTCCAGTCGTTCTCACAGGCAGTTTTGCACAACATTGTTTGAAACTATGATTAGGTAATTTAAGATCAGATAATTATAGGTTTCCAAGATGTATCTTGGACTAACAATACTGGGTAAACATCCTGGTGTGTAGATATAACACCCACAATTACAGTGCAATCCTTTATGTCTCAGAAGTAACGCTCTGAGTTCAATGGGCTTACTCCCAGGATTACAAATCTTAAATATGTAAGAAGGAAGGGGGAATGTAAGCCATGGGTTACCCACAATTAGCTGAAGTATGGTATGCCTGTTGGGCAATGTTGCATGCATACCACACTTCAGAAAAGTAATACAGGAATGGTTACACAAGGGGTCTTCAAAAAGTTTCTGCACTTTTTTTGGTGCAATTTATAAGTGTTGCAGCCATCTTCACCACACCGTGACAACTCTTATACTAAACTGCAAGGGCAGCCGACTTGTCAGACAGACTAGTCACATAACACTTTCAGACACGACCAATTGTATTCCTCCCGTCTTCACAGTTTCCAATGAAAATATAAAAGTGAGGAAACTTTTTGAAAACCCCTCATAGATTTAGTAGTGTCCTCATGCATAACTAACAATGTTAGTCATTACACTGCAATCCTACATACACTTATTCATAAGCAAGCTCCACTGAGTTCAATAATTAATTACAGATAAATGTGTATAGGAGTGCAGCCTCAGTCTACTTTTCCAAACAATCCCAGATAATGTTTCTACAAACTGAAAGTTGCAAAGAACTTTATATACTTTTAAACTATATTAAAAGCAAATACACAAGCCAACCAAGTAAAAGACATAATCTTGAGAGACATAACGACCAAACGGTATTTCCTTCAGTAGTGTACAATTGAACAAATTTATTCTACACCACTTTCCATTAGCCACGTTTATGACTCTAATCAATCTTAAAATGAAAAGTATTCTCCTCAATATATTATAATGATAAAGTACATTAATAAAGGTTAAGAAAAACCTGCATTACTTAATTAGGATCATGCAACCTAAAGAACTGGTTCACTGCTCATAATCAATCTCCCTTAACATAAAATAATCATTGCAAATTAAATGTTTGCCACTGTATTCTCATGTATTTTTAAGACAAATGTAAATCTGAGGGCTTCCTGTTTCCTAAAAATGTATGCCTATATTAACTTTCTTATTAATGTGACTTTTAAAACAGAACATCTTACAGTATAAGCATACATTTAATCACAATAAAAAGCATTCATTTAAGAATATAGCATATTAATACATGCCACCTTTTAACCATAAACTTCAAAATTATTAAAATTAAACAACAAACATCAAAACAAAAACAGAAGGATAAAAACATCCAAACTATATGTATCAATTAAAACATATGAATGGATAGAAAGACAGTTTGTCTATAATTAAACTATGTGATGATATGAGAGGCTTAACTGGGGACTCCAACCACCGGCAGTGATACCATGAAGTAGGCCAGAGTCCTAAGAGAAACTTAAACGGGACATGGCCTTCCAGATGATAACACACAAATACTAAATTTAGCTGAGGAGTAATTCAGCACAGATTTTATGTAATTCATTATTAACTTAAATCCCATTCATTTCAATGGGTTGCTCCATGTCGAAGTTACATTGGCTTTTACCCATTCACTGAATTCCAAGAAAATATTTTTCTCCCCCAAGGGAAAATCTTTGCAATCTCACATTATACAAGCACTTCACTTCTGCTTATTCAAGCCTTTGCCATTTTTCTCGAAGTGTAACTTTTAAATAATAAGAACCTATGTTGGACATTAATATAATACATTCCTGTTGTATACTGTATGACACATTTCTATTAATTACCAATATGATTCGCAGATGTTAACAAATGCTTCTGTCCAACTCTGTAGATTCTAACTTCTCCATGGAGACTACTGGATTCAAATGTATAGCTATCTAAGCAAAAAGGCTGTTTGTACTTAAGTTTCATACCAATTTCAGACAAAAGGCTCTGAGATTTTTGCATCAATGATATTTAAAAAATTACAGAGTCAGCTGCTAGAGATCAGGGAATTCATTCTCTTATAGGACACTCATGGACCTTAGCATTCAAATATTTAGAATTCTAATTTACCTTTGCATACAGATGCCTAAACCAAGCCAGAACAGTGGCTATGTGATGGGTAGGCAACCTTTTTGTCCCTGAGGACTTAATGTGTCAGTAGATGGTGGATCAAGGGTCATATGGTGGTGGTGGACAGAACCTAGGATCTCCCCTCCTCCACCAGACCCACACACAGCTTTTAATGTCCATTCAGAGTCCCAGGCACACACTTTAGGCAAGTTCACATGGCACACTAAGCCACCTGGCAGTCACTTCCACAAGCTTGTTATGTTAGTTAAGCAGAGTACAGAGACAAAAGATAAATAGATGTGGGGACTCAGGATGGAAGCCAGACACATTCATGTCCTATCATATGAATTAATTCTTAGCTATTACAGGAGTGAATTCCTATGTGCAATTTTTGACTTTACCTTGCATTTTGGCAATAATCTGCAAAGCACTTTTAGAACACTTTTAGGCATAGAAATGTTTTAATAAATAATAAATAAACAAACTGTTATAACTGTGAAAGAATGTTGACTATCAGATGGCTGAACATTGGTAGAAAAAGTAACACCAAAGTAATATTATAGCATTAGGAAGGAAGGAAGGAAGGAAGGAAGGAAGGAAGGAAGGAAGGAAGGAAGGGGAGCTGGAGCAGTAAAATTAAGATAAGGGAAAGAGTTAACCAAGAGGAAGGAGAATACAAGAAGCTCTCTGCACACATAGCCCAAAACACCCCCTTTAGTAATTAGTAATTCAGTAATTGCCTATGCACAGATGTTTGGAGTCTGCTATGCCATAGAAATACTGAGGCAAGTATGTGTACCTTTTATACCAGTAGATACTAGTATATACAAGGGTTAGTTGGGCAACTGATCCTCTGGATCTGTTGTGAAGATTGCCAACTTTCCTCAAAAGCAATGATTGCTGAACCTCAGAGGAAAGATGAAGCTGTGGCTGAGAAAGCAAAGAAGATAATGGGTTTTCTAGCTTCTACACCTATGCTAGTATTAACTGCTTGAGAATTGCTGCAATGAAAGAAAGGTAAGGCAAAATGTTTCTACTGGAGACAAGAGGGGAAAATATGAGGTATCTCTGTCTCTCACAAGGATAGGAAAAGGAAAGGCCACGAGGATGGAGAACAGACACAGGCCTTGCAACATACAGTGGTATCTTGGCTCACGAACACCTTAGCTCACAACCAAATTGGGGTGCGAACAGAAATTTCAGGAAAAATTTGCCTCAGGTTGCGAACTCCGCATTGGGTGACGGTCACGATTGCGCCTGGGGGGGGGGATGGCCATGATCGTGCTCAGGAGGAGAGATGGCCATGATCGCAGTTGCGCTCATGCAAGGAAGACGGGAGCAATCGCGGTCATTCTTGGGGGAGGAGATGGCTGCAATTGTGCTGGGGGGGATGGCTGTGATCTTTGTTGTTCTTTGTTACTTTGTTGTTCTTTGTCACATTGTTTCAAATTTTTGTGATTAAAAAAATGGTTACCTTACTTACATGGATTAACCTTACTTACATTGAACCTTATGGGGAAATTTGACTTGGGTCACGACCAGAGTCGTGGAACAGATTAAGTTCGTGAGCGAAGATACCAGTGTACTTAACCTTATTCCACATCCTTCTCTTGACCACTTCAACAACAGTTTCACTAGTATTTAATTCACGTCTTCTCAGTATTTTTTCATGCTGTTATAGGAAAACAATACTGAATAATAAAATAAACAAAGAATTAGTTTTAGCTCCTCAAAATTCCTTAAGTTATTCCTTTACAAAGATTGAGATGAACTGATATTTCTTAAATCTCAGTCATCAGCCAATCATAAATTAAACACTATCATTTTAATGGGGATATTTTACTCCTAAAAACAATATGATTAGAATAATCACGAGTTACAGATTTAATTACACAGGCACATGTAGAATCAGCATACAGATGCCAAGTCTTGCTATAGTGCAGCCTTCCTGGTGTCTTCCATACAGGTTGAGCAACCAGCTGAAGATTTTTGGAGCTGCAGTCCAACTCATTTGGAAGGAATCAAGATAGGGTAGGCTAATGTTGCACAAAAAGCCAGACTGGAAAGTTGTGCTGCTCACCACAATCACAAATTAGCAATACAGAGTTAGGAAAAAGAGCCCTAATGCATCCTAGTTGGGTGGTAAGGATGCTATACAGAAGTAATTAAACTCCCTGAATCAAACTCAGCTTTGGCCCCGAGTTAAAGCAGCATAAGATATTTAAAATTGTGCAAAGCAACTATTAGGTTTTGACCTAATCAAGAGAAAAGACAAATAAAGTGTTCTTTCCAAGTCTGCTCCAATGTTGCTGAGCTGACCTGGGCCAGCATTACACCATACCCAAACAACTTTTAGAGGGGGAAGTCACAATTATTCAGAGCCAAGTGCTGAAATTTAACTCACTCCCCAGCACAAAAGTATTACCTAAACTTTTTCCAGTTAGTTGCCACTGATACTGTCAATGAGGTTTCTTGATTATTCCTCTACAGCCAAAAGAAACCTCAAGTATTTCTAAGCTTTCACAACCCCCATCGCTGACTGAACTTGCCACCTTTCCTATCTCCCACTCTAGCAGTTCCCAAGCACCTTCAACAGGCCAACCTGCTTCAGCACCATGGTGGAGGAAACCTCAATGGCTGATGTTTTTAGCCTACGGCACAGGTATAAAAGTTCCAAAAATCCTTCCAAATTGGAGCCAACAGCCAATAGAGCTCTCCACGGAATGCCTTCCCGTAAGGAGAAGCTACAAGGCAGCTGGCAGACTAAGAACCTCACACGCCCACCCCGCGGGCCTGCGGCAGAAAACGCACCACCAAAGGTCATCCTTTTCGCTCGGCTGGCACAGTTCCTGCGCGCCCAGAGGCAGCACTCTTGCCCGGTCAAGACCACGCAGCAGCTCCCCTTACCTTCACAGCCACTGCCGGGGCCGAGTCCACCACGGGCAATAGCACTTGGTGGGCAGAGGCAGGCGAGGCAAGGTGCAACACGGCGTCCCCGCCGGCGGCCTGCGCTGAGCGGCCGGACCTGCCCTCGGCTTCCGAGCCAGACCCGGAGTCGGAGTCGGAGTCGGAGCCGCCGTACGAGGCCAGCGCAGCGATGGCGGCCGACATCTTGGCAAGACGGAAGTGGGCCGCGGGCCGCGGGGCGGGGACTCGAGGAGCGCCCGCCTCGTCCTGGCAGCTCTGTAACGCCGCTTCCGAATCATTTATCCGTTCGGGTTCTCTGGCTAATTTTATGCCTCAAATGCTTTACCATGCATTATACTCCAGGCGCCGACCAAAATGCCGTCTCGTTAGGCGCAATGCATCCTTTTCGCGGATTTTAAGATTAAACGTTGTAAGGACTTTGAACGGATATACAAATCCCAGCATGCAATTCCCTATCTGACCAACCTAAGGTTGTTTGATTCCTGAAATGCGCTTTATTGGAAGCAGTCTCTCTTGAATTTAGTGGGACTTACTTCCCAGTAAACACGTACAAGAGGGGCGGTAAGTATGAAAGAAAAACATCACTGTTTGTCGTAAACTGAATTAAGAGACATAGTTTCTCACCATTCTACACACACACATCCTGGAACACAAACCTATCAGAATTTCCCATCAATAAGCAAAACTTTTCGAACTATTTCCAGAAAAGCCAACATTATGAAACTTTCGCTTAGCCTTAGGCTGCAATCTTACGCACCCTTCCTAGGGAGTAATTCCCATTGAAATCCGTGGGATTTACTTCCCAGCTAAACATGTAGTGGAATATGTTGTTCATAGTCTTTAAAATGCTACAACGTTCTTCGTTAAGATGTTACATCTTTACCATCTTACTATCAAGGGCAGGGACTGCATCAAGGAATACAGAAACTCGTGCGGACATTCCTAGTTTTCTACCGTGCAATGCAAACTCCGCCTCTCACAGATTTTATGCTATTAAACTGAGCTCTAATAATTCATATTATTAAGTATTAAAATATAGTCATTTCAGTTTTAACTGTAGAGGAGGGGTATTTAGTGAAATATATGCCCTTTCAACAACAAACCGCAAAATGGGTTTTATTAGGGTTTAATTAGGGTATATTAGGGTTTAATTCGAGACATGCTAAAACGAATGACACCGAATGGCCATGGAAAAGCACCGATTCATTTCAATGGTCATTGAGGAAGAACTAACGTCTACTAATCGCCATTCGATGCCACTCGTAATAGTTTCATTTCTTGTAGAATCGGTGGGGTTTATTTCTGAGTAGACACGTTGCAGTGTGTATGTATTATAGGTCAATCCTATGCATGTTTACTCAGAAGTAAAACTTTAATAATAATTGAAATAACTTCTCGGTAGTTAGATCATTTATTGCCTTATTAGAGTTTAATATGATTGACTGTCAAATAAACATGCAACGAATCAACAAACTGTAGTTCAATCTTATTTATGTTTATCCGGAATTGTGATGGATGCGGCTTGTAGCCAAGTAAACTTGTTGCCAAGGAAAACAATCCTATGATCAAGACTTTAGGGCCATGGCCCTAAACTTTAACAGGACTTTTGTGACAATATTTCAGAGTCCGGGGAACTTGATCTTGAGCTCCTTGTCTCCTTTCATTTCTAAGCAAGCATTTGTCAAAAAGAAAATGGAAGAAGACGGCAGAGAATGTACGAATTACCACTGCAAATTCTTCTCTTTTTCAAGAAGTAAGACTGATACCGAATTGAGTTGGTATGCACAAAAAGACAGTCTATATCACATCGTCGTCCCCTCTCTCTCCGTCTCCTTAGAACAGCTCCCAGCTCCGCCTCCTCTCATTCTGATTGGCTGCAAGAAGCCGGCTTGAGTAAACGCCGCAATAGTTCTGGTTGCTACCTCCATTACTCTCACCGCTACGGAGAACAAAACTAGCCTGTACCACCCGAGGTCTTACGAAGGGGGGAAAAGGAAGATGGTGCGTGTATGGCGGCTGTCTCCCGATACTGTGTGTCAAGAGAGCTGTAAGGGACGCCGGTCAGGTGGTTACGTGAACAACACCTCCCCTCCCTTCTTGCCATCCTCACCACCCCCATTCCAGGAGAGAGTGCTTGGAGCCGAAGAAGAAGCCCCGCCTTCGGCACACTCACACATACACGCGCGCGCCGCTCTGTGTGTCTATTGTGAAGCTTTGTGCGGGGGAAGGTCCGCGTTTTCTCTCCTCTTTCCCCTCGTTCCTTTTCTGCCCCCACCGCCCGCCCGTCCTCCGAATTCTCGCAAGCGGCTGCCCGCCAGTGGGGCTATTGAAGGGAAGCGGTCGAACTTCCAACCCGAACGGACCCGGTTGGCACGAACCCAACAGACACAGAAAGGGGAGGGGCTGCACGGTGCGCGGCGGCGGTTGTATGAAGATGTGAAAAGCAGGCGGACGAGGCGACTTATTGCTGCAAGAGCGGAGCGAGCGAGAGACGGTGAGTGCCCTGCTGCGGCCCCGCATTCACCGCAGTGCCCCCCCACCATTTCTCTTCCCGCCGCCGCCGCTCCCCCCTTCTGATTTTCCGTACGCCCTCTTCTTCCCGCTCGCAGAGCAAGCAAGGATACTCCTCAGTGATAGTTCCACATAGGGATGGACGAGGAAGCCTCCCACCTTTCATGCCTTCCGCCTCCTATGTGTAGCTGAGAGGAGAGGAAAGACGAGAGAGTGGGTCGGTGTCAGTAGCTTGCCTCCTATTCCCCCTGCCCCCCCCATTAGCTCAGATTGGGGCATGTAGATGCTTCCGGTTAGTTTATTTTCTTCTCCCGCGACTGCAATAAGATACTGAAGTGGTGGTCTCTGAAAGAAAAGAGAAGGTGAGGCTGCGGTCAAGAAGCTACTTTTGAAATCCTGAAAGAGATCGTAGATAAGGTTGGTTACTCGTCGTTCCTCTATTGGAGTTTTTCCCATTCTGTAGATCTGCATCCTCCTGCAGTAAAGGAACCGTTTAAAATTTGGCAACATTTCTTCGCTCCCTCTCTTTCGAGCCAGCTTTCAACTCCTGTCACATACTCAATATTGCTTAAATGCTTCTTTCAAGTGTTACTCTTGATGCCCCATGCTTCGAACTTGTTGCCGTCCCCCCCATAATAACGCCCCCCCCCCAAGCATACACCTCTTTTGGTGACTAAAGAGGTAAGAAGCATGGGTGCCCGGGAAGCTTCCTCACCGTTTCAGCCCATGCTTGAGTGTGAACTGGAACTCTTAATCTACCTTA